TCTGCATACCGCCTTGCTATTCTGGGCAGCCTTCCCTGACAACTTCTTGACTGCCCTTCAGCTGCATACACAAGCGCTTGGATAATGCTAACGCCTTGCTTTCCTAAGTCACTGCACTCTTTCCGAAATCCTTTCATAGTTCAGTTTTCACTACCATAATATCACTAGTATTTCTCCACTTTCACCCACTCTCCCCTCCTGCAACGTACACATGAGGCCTCATGAGGCTTGCAGGTGTGGCCAAACGCACGCCGTGAAAGGATGACAGGATGGGTTCAGACCAGTCTCCTAAGCCAATGGGCAGAGATCTGTTACAAAACACTGTCTCTTTCTGACCACCCACCTAATAATGAATAATGCATTTGTTCTTTCACCATGTTTATATTATTGGGATGTCTTTGTATCTACGGCAATCAGTGTGACTTCTTTCATTTAAAAGTCCTCAAGGAGAAGAAATGATATTCGTGTAACACAGGCTCAAATAATAATATGAGGTGCTTCTATCTATTCAAAATATTTACATTTTTATCTTACTTTAGCTACAAAACAACCCAACAAGTTAAGTACCATACTCAACATTATACCTACTTTAATGATAAGGAAACTCAAGGTTAGGCAATGAAAGCCAATTTACTTATTGACTCAGAAGTAGAAAATAGTATCATGGGGAATAGAATACAGATCTCTAATTTTTGGTCCTGAATTTTTTTATGAGACAGGTATGCTTCCTGAGGGACTCTGAGGGAGCCACGGAAAGGGAGAGCAGTCAGGGTTTGAGGAACTCTACCCTGGATTAACTAGAAAGTGTGCTCCCTTAAAAAGCAGCATGGAGACCACTGGCCCCTTCACTTTTTCTGAACAGTATCAGTAGCACAAGCTAGGTGTAGACAGTGACTTTAGGATGATAAACTTGCAGATGACTCTGATCATCCTTGAAGTTCTTGTAAGTACTTCACATCTCTTGGCTTGTAATCAGTGTAGGCAGTGAAAACTGCACCCTAGCCTCAGAGACGGTAAAGTTACTCTTCAGCCTATTCATCTTCTGTTCCTTAATCCAATAAATATTTCTGGAGCAGTTACTGTGTGCTAAGCACTATGCTAGGGTTTGGGACTAGAGTGACAATAAAAATATGGAGGTGATTTCACAAGGGTCCTAGTATAGTGTGCCTTCTGACAGACCAGAAACAGATCACTATACCAATAAATGATTCTAAATCAAAACAAGAGTTGTGAAGGAAGGATCTGTTTTGCTACACGGAGGAATAACGAAGGGGGTTTCTTTCCGTCAGAATTGCACTCTGTGGCCAGAATACTGAAGCTGGGGTTTCTAGGCGAGTTAGTGAGAAGCACATTTTTGTTACAGGGAACACGATTATATAGGCATGAAGTGACTTGGTTAAAGAATCCAGAGGAGAGGCAGTTGGCTGGGGCCCTGTGAGCAACAGAAGATGGAAGACAGAGGTCTAGCAGAGCAGGGCTGTGGATTTATGCAAAACAAGTCAGGAACCATGGCAGGGACCGAAGCAAAGAATGTCACGATGGACTAAAAATCATGATGACTTTGGCTGTTAGCCTGCAAAAAGAATTGAAGTTGGCCAAAATTATAAATGAAGAGACCTATGAAGAGGTTATTAGGTAGTTTCCTTTTGTCACACAGGTGCCCCTGAAGGATTTTATAGTTTACTGTGGAAGAGAGAAGGCAGTACAGACAACTAGCAAGAGTGTTAGAAAAAACAAGAACAAACAAAAACCCCACCACCCTGGATTTAAATGATGTGGTTCTAGTCTGCACTGCCATGGAGCAGCTGTGCATTATGGGACGGGCCACTTAATCAGCCTCTCTGGGCTCACTGTCCCCATTTGTGACAAGGGGCTAATAACTCAGCTTAGCTGGGTAATATTAGGAAGACCAGCTCAGTAAGTGAAAGTGCTTTCCCCATGGTGAAACATTATGTGAATGCAAAACGGCATTGTCCTTAACCATGTCAGTGTATACAATGTAATTATAGTTCTGCATAAATAGAGAACATTTTAAAATCTATGTTGAAAATAAGTTACTGGAAACCAATAATTTTGTGGTGTTAGGCTGGTTAGAATTTTCACTGTGTTTCACACGTCTACAGTTTTTTAAATACTGAAAATTTCAGGATTGTTGAGCAAAAAATAAATAATTTAAAAGAATTAATAATCCTTTAAAATGATCACATCCACTCAGAATTAAATTTTGGTTAATATCACATTTCTCAAGCCCCCATTACTTATATGCTTACCATAAATGTGTTACCTTTTTATAAATGTGACACCTTATTTGCATCTGATTTATATACATTCCCCTCCATGCTTTTTTAAAAATAAACTTCAACTTAAACAATATGGCCTGTTAAATCAGAGTTGATACTCTAGTTGTATTTTTTTCCTAATACACATTAAAACCACTGCAAAATTGTTAACATATAAACTATGTAATAGGATCGCACATAATACCAATGGTAAACACTGTATTTGAGAAATAATTACTGATGCCATTCATAATTTGACCTTTTTTTAATACTGTGTTAGAATTCACAGAGTCTTCCACCAGCCCACTGGTGTGTAACTGGAATTATCCGTTGAGCTTTTAAAACTCTTGATTCCCAGCTGAGCTCTTGATAAACTCTGCGAATCTCACTGTGCATTGAGCCCAAACATCAGTAAGACTTAAGGCTCTCGGAGATGATTCTTATATGAACCCAGGTTGAGAAGCAGTGGCCTATAGATCATTGGCTGCTTTCTAGGCCCGTATAGGACTTCTCAGATTGAGGCTGCATCATGCCAACAGGAGAATGTGGCAGTGGTTGAGTCAATCACTGTTTTCGCCTCATTCGGAAGGGGACAAATGTCTTGATAAAGAGCAATAGCAGTAGGAAGAGTATTACTTACTAGGCAACGTGAACTGAAGGCTAACTGGATGTCAGGCCTTCTGCTAAATATTTTATAGGAATTATTTCACTTCATCCTCATAGAAACCTCACAAGGTGAACACAAGCATTATCTGTTGCTAAGATGAGGTGACAGAGGCCCAGATGTCATAGAGGAGTGACAAGAAAGGATAGGACGCTCCTTGAAAACAACCTCAGATTTCTAGCCAATTTTCCTTCCTCCCTTCTTTTCTCCTTCCCTATCTTCCTCCCTTTCTTCTTTATTTTTTGGGATGGGGTTTCACAAATCTCAAACTCCTGGGCTGCAGTTCGCATTCTGCCTTGGCTTCCTGAGTAGCTAGGACTGCAAGCACACAGTACTATGCCTGGCTTCAGTCATTTCTCGAAGGATTTCTCCTTAAAGCAGATACCTTAGGTCTAGACTCCTGGTATATAAATTGCAGGATCCACTTGCTTTGTGACCTTTTATTCGGCTTCTTTACCCATTTCTAATTTTACAGCTGAGTAGGGGTTTTTTGGAACTAAAATGAAAACCTACAGAGGCTGTGCCCTCTCAGGTCATAGGCTGACTCCATGTGTGGTCCTGTGAAAGTGCCCTCACTTCTCTTGGGTATGGTTTTTCTCATTTGAGTTGCAAAAATAAACCCATCTGCCTAGGTGTCTTTAAAGCTGGGAGAAGAGGCACTTGAGGGGTTGGTTTCTATCTCTCTGGTCCTGGAGAAAAGTGGGAAGGGAAGAACAGCTTCCAGCAAGCCCGGAAGCCATCTTTCTCCTCTGCAGGATTCAGTTATGCCCAACAGACAGAACTAGACGAGCCTGGCCTCGGCTTGTAGAATGCAGCTCTGGGGAGGTGATGAGACCTTCAGTCTCGTTGTTTGCTACAAAGATAAACAATCCACCCTCCAATCACACAGCAGATTCTGCTACACAGTTGAATAAGAGGCGTGAAATGGGATATTTTCCAAGTTCAAAATAAAGCCGTGGAAAATCTACCTTCCCTTTCCCTCCATAAAGAACATCTAAACGCATAGTGTTTAATTTCCGACTAGGGCAGTGTTCTTTCTGAGGGAAATGTTAAGCAGGGATTAGTGACACCATGGGCTGTAACTCTATCCTCAGTCCTTTCATTGTTAATAGTATTTTTTTGGCAGCATCTGTGCAGAGATGTGGGAAAAACCAAAGTCTTATGTAAATGAGAATAGACACACACTGATAAACCAAGCACCAGACCTGAGGTCTTAATTACACAGGAGTCTAGATGTCAAAATGAATGTGGCTTATTGACACTCCGATATTTCAGTCAGTATTAAATTGGACGACCTTCTTCCGGGAGCAGAGAGCAAAGTGCAGCTTTCTCATTACCTGGGGCTGTGTCCACCAATGGACATTCGGCTGGGTGGAATGTATCTTTGAACACCAATGATCATACCTGTCCATGGTGTGACATGAAAACACAAAGTGTGTGGCAACATGCTGTAACTGACCAATGTCTTAAAAACAGAGGTCTCTAACGGCATCAGCTCCCCCTATTCTACCCACACAGCACTGTTCAGAGCAACTAATCTCACCCCAGTGACTAATACTCCTCCTGTGAATATTAGTAACAATGTCTAATGCTGAGAAATCTGCAAAAACAATAACTAACAAGTATTTACTTTGCTAAACTTGAAGACACTCTGGAGCTTGCTAGCTCACGCAAGTTGTTCCCAGTGGGTTAGAGTTTTTTTAGGATTTTTATACCTCCCAGCCCATGCTTCCTTTCATTAGCAGACAGTATGGCCATTATCCTAGGGGTAAGGCTGTGTTTTTAAAAGAAGAGAAGGCCACCTTTAGGCTTGGGCATAACCAAACAGTTCTCAGTGGGAGTTAGGGTCTTTTCCTTGAAGTAGAAAAATAATACACACTTTCCCTCCACTCCCACTAATTAAAGTGTCAGGACGGAGCCCCAGCACTGATTTGACACATGACTTGATGTCCCATGTAATCTGACGTGTTTCGAACTAACATCAAAGCCCCATCAAGGAGAACAGAGCAGGATATTTAGTGCGGGCTAGCCGCAGTCTGACATAGAACTCCATCCAGTTTCATTCGCAGGCCCTCGCTCACCAGGAGATTAACCCATCAGGCTGCTGCGTGAGAAGGGACAGAGCGGCTCCTGACAGGAGGCCCATGATGTGGGGGAAATCAAAACAAATCCACCTGCTGAAGGAAGATGCTGAGGACGGCAGCCGTGCGGTGACCTCGTCCTCCTACGGATGTTTGTAGGCAGTGTTATCACCGCCACCGATGTGGCACTGGGCTGTTTATGACTTCCTGATCACACTATTTTTCACGACTGTGTCTGCATGGCTGTTCAACGACTTTGTGTAACGGTGTCCTCTCATTCTGAATAAACCATAGTGCCTGGAAGGCCAGGCATGGTCTCCGTGTATTTATCTTGGCTTCTCAAAGGTTTGGGGAAGGGCCGGGGGGGGGGTTGCTTTCTGGGATTTTGTTGTTTTGTTTTTGAAACTTAACTTTCATGCCCCAATGCTTAGGAATGAATAGGACAGAAGTGAAATATTAGAACGATACGTGTGTTTATGCACTTAGTCTCCGATTCTGTACTTATCTTGTCACAGATGGGCAGCACATACTGTGCCACCTCACACCCATCTGTGATCTATGGTTTGAGGAGCACCTGGCATCCCCAGGTCAGTGTGGGACACACTGACATCTCTATCTGCAACTGTTGATTTCACAGACGGTATATGCATATTTGTGAGTACATGCGTATATACAAAATTTCTATCCTACACACACATTTACATGATACAGTTATACCAAATATACCTATGTGCACACACATTCAAATTAAATTATACTTTATAATATACATGTACATAAATATATGGGACTATAAAATTTCCTACCCAAATATGCGTATTTCTCATACCTAGGAAGAATAACGTCAGAAAGCTGGGACCAAGGCCCACGATATGAAAAGGCACATGTGGTAATGGAACAGCAACTGAGAAGTGTCTACCCCAATTCTGAAAGTTTTCTGCAGATAATTTTCCTCACAGGGACGTGAAGGCCACTGAGCTTAATCTGGCAAGGTCACACAAGTATTGAGGGAGTGAGATGGGATTCGCATACAGAACTCTTGGGCTTTACAGCCCAGGTTCTTTCTACTGCAGCATTTTCTAGGTAGCTGCACCTCGGCATAGAACAGTGGGAATGGGCATGTTCCTATCAGGATACTCAAAAGCAAAGGTGGCCATAAAATAAAAGCATGGGCTGGGTTAGGCAGGTTCTCGCCGAGAACATGGTTACCGAGGAGCTTCTAGTCCAGTCCCCCTTTAGGGACAGGCTCAAAGAAGAAATGACCCTCTCTTTTCCTGGACATTGACACGCAGAGAAGGCATGGCCATCCTAGTCCCAGATGGAGGATGGCGCACTGAGGAAAGCAGAGCACCAGGTGAACCCCCAGGAGCAGAGTGGGAACTCCAACATCTTGCCCCTGGAGTATCCCTTACCTAGACCCCATATCCTGTGAGACAGTACAATGCCTTATTAAAACCAGTCCCAATGGAGACTGTTCTGTACTTGCACTCCAAAGCACTTTATACAAACTTGAAACACGCTGTAACAGTATGACCCTGAGCACTACTCTCCCCGCTTTTTGTGAAAAGCCAGTATTTGTTGCATACTGCCAGAGGTGATAATCGTTTAATTTGTGGCAGCAATTGACATTTTTCAAATAACACTTTGAAATGAAATTTAAATGCTAGAGACCGTTCATATGGGACCATGAAGAGCTTAACTTGAAAATTAAAAAAGAATTAAAACCCACAGTAAGTCACATAATTCTTACTGACTACATTCAGGGTTTAGCTCCACTTTGGGGACTCAGAACATCAAGGCATGTGTGTTCACAGTCCCGTCAGCTCTGTTTAGGAATTCCCCTGCTTCTTCCTGCATGTTTACACAACTTTAATACTTCTCTAGTTTGGTTCAATAAAGCATTTTTCTATTGGGATGGCGTAGCTCGCCTGTATTTATCCCACAGTGAGGCGGCTGAATTATCTTAACAGTCCATTTTGGTAACTGTAAAGCTGATAAATTGTGTCTAAACAGCTCAAATATTTCTCAGGAAATAAAAGTGAAAAAAGAGGCTTTTGCTTCAACCATTTCAGACAGCTTTGCACATTTCAAGATTAAGGCTAAGGTATGGGTTTTTGCTTTCAGCTAAACCCTCACTCCACCCTGCCCTTGACAACTTAATTTCCTGTCCTCTTTGGGAGACAGGCAGATGAATATTTAGTGTAGAACATGATTGTGATTAAGCTTCCAAATGTATCTTCATCTGGATTCTAGCTGGTGTGGCATCTCAATTACTCTTCCACTCCCCTATGGAACCGTCTTATTGATGTAGTAAGCTTGGGATGATGGCACTGGATTAAAAATCTCCCAGGACTCTCCAATCTTCTAACCTCAATCAATTATCCCTTAATGAAGGGGGGGAAAAAAGATCTTCTGCATACATATTATGACCTGAAGAATGCCACCAACAAGCATCAGAGTATTGCTGATTAGCTACCCAGAAGAGAGCTGAAATCTTTCTTACACAGGCTCCTTTCTTTTATTCCTCACCTCTGAAAAGGAGGATGGATGCTTTAATGTGAGTCTGATAACTGATGGCGGTGGTGATTAATGGATGTGCCGTCAATACAACATGGAGAAGGTTGCAAAAATGTTCAGTGCCCACAATTTCTTTACTGGATCAATATTCTTCACATGTCATTCTTCCCATGGTTTCTAATATTAAATGCCAAAGCTCTAGTAAGTTACAGTAATGCTCTCTAAATCAATTCTGAATATCTGAGACATTTACCCGTTATTCTTTCAGTATCATTTCTATTGAGAAGAAGCCCCAACAAATTTACCTGACTCATTTATCCATTTGCTCAATCATTCACTCATCATCTACTGAGCACTTATGCCGTATGTTGAACACTGAGCACAAATTTGTGGAAAAAGAGAAACACAATCTTTGTTTTTAAGAATCTCAGTCTAGCAGGGCATGCAGACAAGTAACCAATATTGAGTGTGTAGCCAGGTACAGTGACACATGCCTGTCATCCTAGCACTCTGGAAGGTAGAGGCTGAAGGATCACAAATTTGAGCCTAGGTCAGCCAATTTAGTACCTGCTGGGGAGATGCAAGATCAGGCAAGGTCAGGCAACTTAGTAAGTGCTGGAGAGATGCTTCAGGAAACAAGGAGGACAAGTTTACTGGCTAAAAATGAGGTAGGTACTTTCCGTTGCCCTTAGACAAGACCTATGCTTGTTTCCAAGAACCAAACTCATGAAAATAAATCCTCTCGAGAGCCCACGAGTGGCAAAGAGCCCCAAGAGCTCTTCCTGAGGAGGAAGATGAAAAAATAAGCTATTGATCACATCCCTCATTTAAATCTTGCTGTTTGAAAAAGACAATTCTCTCCAGGAGCGAAGCCAGCTTCTCCCACTTGCCTTCTTGGTTCAGTGATAGAGTGTATACTTCTGTCATCTGGGGGGGTCATGGTTTGTGCTTAGATGTCTCCAAAAGCCTTATATGTTCACAGGTGAGGAGTTCAGCAGGTGACTGCAATAGTGTGTGTGATGCTGGGAATAAGGCTAAGATGCTGGGATTAAGGATGCCCAACCCTGGGTATCAGTGGTACCATCCAAAAGGCAGGTAGCCTGGATGAAATATAAAGGGACAGAAAGAAGCTGCTTTGCTGTCTTCTACCTGCCCTGCTTTGCCATGGACTATTTCTCCTCTATGATGCCCCTCTGCCCGGCCACCCTGCTCAGAGCCAGCTGGCTATTGACTGAAATCTTCAGAAACTGTGAGCCAAAATAAACCTTTCCTCCTTTAATTTTGAATGGTGGGTATTTTGTCTCAGCAATGAGAAAGTGAGTAAGACTCGGTCATATAGATGCAAGAAAAGTGGAAGATGGAGAAACAATATTTGTCGGCAAAGTTGGATGGTTAGCTTTTAGGGTCTACTGGAGAATTCTCATACTCTCCAGAATCATTCTTCCAGATTGTGACCAAGGACAAAACAATTCCTCAACATATTCTTCACACAAAAGCACTTCAAACAAATCACACTGTGCATGAAAAAAAGTCCTAAGAAACTAGAAGCAACAGCAGTGGCAGCCTAGAGCTCTATGAACTCATGAAAAATTAATTCAGTCCTCAAAGTTAGCAGCAGTAAGGACTGCTCTACATAACAAAAAGTTCTCAGTTGCATTATTAAAACACGGCTTTGCACTAACCAATTAATTTCAAAGGCTTCACTCTTTGTATGAGAAGTTATCAAAGACAGATGTGCTAAAAGGGTCCTCTATCAAATCTGGTACCCATCTGCTCTCCCAGGGTTATAACTGAGATTCTTATTATAGCTTGAGCACTTTGCTTTCATTTTAACCTCAATGCTTTTGTGAGATTTCCCTTAAAAGCCCAATGGAGAACAAGATTAGAAAAATTAGTCTTTTTCTCTTAGGGATGAGTATCTCCTTCCACTCAGACACTCCAGGCTCCCCAAGAGGTGTTTTGCTGCTAAGGCTGCTGTTTGTCTGTTTGCTACAAGAGCATTTGCCAACCAAAGGATCAAAGCAAACTGTGACTTTTTCAAGCAGAGCTAAGAATGGAGGCTTTCGGGTAACAGACACGTGTGTCCCATTTTAAGAAATTCTGCTGTTCAAAAATAAGATACAAAAACCTAAACTAGAAGAGAGAGATTAGTCCATTTACAAAGGAGGATTCACCATGGTGTCCCTGGAAAATCAGTTCCCTAGCCCCTAGGTTAGTTAATATGTGTCACTATCCACATAACAAAAATAAAGAAATGTTTATGCACAACATTTACAATCTGAAGAAAGATGCATCGGTTTTGTCAGTACTAATAGTTTGCCACATTGAATACCTGCTATTAATGTGACAGTCCCAGCACTGACATTTCACGTCATCCCATTTTCTTCTCAAAAAGTCCTGTAACCTACATATCAGAACCTCACTTTATATATGTCAAAAACTCACTTGCCTGAGGTCAGACACAGCCACTGCAAAGCTGGGATTCAAAGTCAAAGTCTATTTCACTTCACACTCCACTGCTCTAGTCCTGCTGGAAATCAGACTGCACGGTTATCCTCGGAAACCTTAGTAATTTGGGATAGTTGAGGTGCGCATCAGTTTAAACTACCTAGAAAAGTCTGAATTACAGAATATCTAAGGATCACAGCTATGTGCAACAAATTAGCAATTTCCCTGTTTTGCTACAATTCCAGGACTTCATTTAATGATAAGATGATAAACTATAATTAATTTGTAAACTTATCCATTGTATGAAAAGAAATGGAAACACACAACTAAAATTC